CTCTCTCTCTCTCTCTCACGCACACACACACACACACACACAAAAAAAAAAAAGAAAAAAAAAAAGAGAGAGAATCTGGGGTCTTTTTAAAACAACGCACACACCTGTGTCTGCATGCTCTCGCTCTAGGCGCTCAGTCCAGTCTGAGTTCACTGACCACGGGCACCTTTCTTTCCACCTGCTCTTCATGCAGAATTATGACATCACTGAAGCATGTCTCGTGTCTATTCATAAGTTAACTACCTGCCTACCCACCCACCCACCCAGCTACCTACCCACCCACCCACCCAGTTACCTACCTACCTACCTACCTGCCTCCCTGTCCCCCTTCCTCCCTGCCTTCCTGCCTACCTGACTCCCTCCCTGCCAAACGCCCTCCCAACCTGCCTCCCTACCTACCTACCTAGGGATGCATGTACACACCACATGCACAGCAAGTCACTGTTCTTCACCCTTCCCAACAGCCACTATGGGAAACAAGGGGACCTGTGTGGAAGCTTGTCTTTTGTGAATTGGCTGGTACACGGCCCGACCTTTTAATGGAGGAGGGAGTGGTTTTGGGTGGGCAGGAGAGGGTGCAATGTTGGCGGGGGGATGGGGGTAGTAGTGTGGGACGACTTATTGAGGGGCGGGAGCGACAGTGGAGGAATGTGGGGGCCATGGGTGTTTATGGGAATGATGTTGTCCATGTGTGTGGTGACAAAAGTGACTGGCCGGAAGGCACCGGAGGGGCCATGCACTGGTCAGTCATTGTCAAGCGTGTTTATTGCAGATAAGGTGGCATTTGATGTGGAGGAGGAATGGCTTGGCTGTCATCCCATACAGGTGACAAATTAGAGAACAAATACAGAAGTGGTCTCATCACAAGGGAAAAAAGAAAGGCAAAACAAAACGTAAAAAAACAACAACCGGAAAGGTTGTGCTTTTGCCGCCGTCAACGTCTGGCATCCCTCCCACATCGTGCCAGACGCCCACGATACTTGATGGGTGCGGAAAACGGGACGCCCATAACTATGGTTGACAGAATAACATATATGAAAGTAAACAGTGGTAAAAGAATGGAAAACAGAAAGAAAATGTTGAGCCAAGACTTCCAGGCAGCATCTTGCGGCCTCGAAAAGGCAGGGCCGAGATCCTCAGCGGAGGCCAGACATTTTGCCCAACTAGCAGATGCCAAACACGCTGTTGCACTACAGCCCCCCGAAGGAGGTGCGCCCCTCCGCTTTCCTAAGCGCCGGTCGTCCACGGCGGTGCTACTGGTAGGCAGAAACTAATTTCCCTGTCTTTCATCAACCGTTACCTGGAGGGGGATCCCACTAGCATTGTATGTGGAGTAGTGTAGCGGGCGTGTGACCCGCCTCCGCCGTCGATGGGAATGGGGATCCGTGGTTTTGTTTTTTCTGTATTTTAGCCCTCGAAAATATGTGTTTTTTTGGAGCATCCCATTGGGTGGTCTTTATTTTGTTTTGCTTGCCGTGTTCCTCTGGGGGTCCCGAACGTGAGTGAAAACCAGACCCATTTTTTTTGTGTTGCTTTTCACTCACCTTTCACTCACCTTTGGGTCGTGGGCAATGCGTGGAAGAAAGGCCGAAAACAATTTTTTTCGGTGTTTCCCATCATGAGGGAATGTCAGTCCGTGTCAGACCCTCGTCCAACTTGTCTGTAGTCCCCGCAAAATGTGGCCCCTTCTTCGGTGT